TGAGGCAGAATTAAAATCTGCAAATCGTCATCCTCTCTACAACGACATTTTACAATCATGTATCACGGGTCCGAATGCCTCAGTGATCCTTTCCCAGTGTTGCAAAACAATTTTCCAAGTTTTACTCCAGTATTTCTATGTCAACATAAAATCTGCAAAATAAGTACTAGTTCAGGATGGTGTGGTCATGTCGTAAAAAGAACATGACTTTTAGAAAACTATAGATGCCCTTGCTGGCTGCATGACTATGAACAAATAACTTTTCAGAGTTTCAACTTTTCCACAGTAAAACAGAGATAATATAGCACAGAGTTGAGATGTTATGAGGGAGGTAAAATATGACAGATATGATGGTTCTCACCATGCCTGGCTACAATAACAGGTGTTAGTATTACTAGTGACATCAGTAAAAAATATATACGATGCTAAATCTCTCCACTCAGTCTTTTCCAGTGATTTCTTCTCTTGCCTCTAAAATATCAAGAAAAATAACTGGGCAAACCACTGATAGAGTCTATACGTGACTAACCTTACAAAACCAAGCAAAATGTACTAAAAAATTCTTTAAAACGTACTCTATTTAAGCTTTGCAACATCCCTGTGAGGACTGTCATTACCTCATTTTACTAAAGAGAAAACTAAGGGGTAAGAAAAGTAAACTATTTCCCACAGTCTCACACACAGCTGGGAAACTGAGTCATAGGTGGGCCATGTTTTTGTTTTGTTTGTTTTTCACCCTTTCTGGTTAAAGTAGAAAAATCTTCATTTCTCACTATTCTGTTATTCATGCTATGGCTTTAGAGGACAACAGAAGTAGTTCGCCCAGGCTTTGTGGGTAACATTTCTGAGTCAGACTGGTAACATCTAGACATCCCTCTCCGGTATCCTCTAAGGGGTATCAAAGAGAAAAGTCAAATCAGAGTCTAGTTGAGTGGACAGTGATGTGGGTTACTCGGCTTCAAACATGCGGTCATGGTGGCTCATGATTCAGAAAACTGGTCACCACCACACAGAAGGACAACTGACAGCATTCTCCTTGACAGACCCCGTTGCGTCTCTCCAACTTGCTTCTCAATCAACTCAGGGTCAAAATTCACACCTGAGGTGGGGAACTTACCGGAGGAGAAGCAGCCTGTAACATCAGCTGCACTTTGGGGGAACCTGGTAGCTCTTCTACCAGCCCACCCTGGGCAAGGGGGTCACCTGGTCCTGCTTCAGCCTTTGTTTTCCTTGGTTAAGGCCTAGGCCAAGTCGGGCAAGTCTGTACGCCTGACCCATCAGTCGCCTTGATCCCTCACCAGGGGCCACCTCCAAGGGGAGATGGGAAAATGGCACTGACTAGACTCTCACCTGCTTCACCTGAATGGTGATGACCATGTGTGATCTGCTGCTGCGGGCGTTCATGTTGGTGGCAGCCGTGGTCCTGATTCTTGTCCCTTGTTCCATCAGCCTTTCAATTTGCGCGTAGTTGTCGCAAGGCACGGACCTCAGACCATCCACGTAGAAGCCCAGCTGCTGATCTTCCCTCACTCTGAGTCCTCCGCGTTTCTTGGTTCCCGACAGCAAATCTCTTACCTATGGAACGACAAATAAAACTTCAGTTTTATTAAGTGTACAAAAAAAATGTAAACTTCAGGAAGGCAGGGATTTTGGTACATCCCTGTCGTAGCCCCGCCTAGAACACATTAGGTGATGATACCTATTTTTTGATAAGTGAATAAATGCTAAATGTTCATGGGTGCCAGACCTCCTTAATTTAACTAAGAAATAGGGCTCGTTTCTTCCTGTGATGCCACCGAGTAAGTGTTGTAAAAGTCTCCCCTTCCAGGGCCTTCCCTGGTGGTGCAATGGAGCTGTGAAGCTGTCTGCAGCCACTGCAGCACGAGTTCGATCCCCGCCAGGGAGTGACCACAGGGTGCAGCAGACCTCTCCTCTCTCCCGCTGCTGCCCTCACTAGTGTATTTTGGTCAATCCACGTGTTCTGCTCCCCACTCTGTCTTTGGTGACTCCTCTCACCCCCCACACCTCTGGCCTGTACCCCATAAATAAATCTTAAAAAAAAAAGTCTCGGCCCTCCCTGGTGGCGCAGCGGGTTAAAGCACAGCACTGAGAAGCTAAAGCCGCTTCAGCGCGAGTTCGATCCCCGCCTGCCCCGGAGGTGACCACATGGCTGGCAGACCTCTCCTGACCCGCCCGCTGCTCCCCTCAGCAGTGGACTTCGTCCATCTGCCTGTTCTGCTCCCCGCTCTGTCTCTGGTGAAGCCTCTCACCCTCCGCATCTCTGGCCTGTACCCCAGTTCTGTATGAATAAATAAATCTTTAAAAAAAAAAAAGTGTCGCCCATGTCCGTGTCAGTCTTCCAGGGAGCTAGAAGGGCTTCCCCAGAGCTTTAAGCTTTCCAACAAGCGAGTCTAAGCAGCCATTTTGAGCCCCGGGGAGTGCTCACAGCCTCTGTGGTAATGGGGGACCCAAACCCAGCGACCCAGGGCTTTGGGCTTGCCACAGCCCCTCAGAGGATGCGGCTGCAGCCATAAACACACAGCCCCGCAAAGAGGAAGAAAGTGGGGAACCCAGGGCCGTGTCGAGGGAAGATCCTCAGGACCTGGTGTCCAGTTATGGTGGAAAAGACTTTGGTCCCTGAGGTAAGACCCTGAAGAACGTCCCAGAGATCTCGCTGCGCCGTAAGGGAGCCTGACGCAATTGAGTCATGACTGGGGGCGCCAGGCGAGGGCAGAGGCTTCGCTGCCGCGACTTCTGACGACGGAGCGTCCGTCTGGCAGAAACGTCAGCCGTGAACGGCCACCACGGCGACGCGGGGAAAGCCCAGCGCAGGCGAGAGGTGGCCGGTGCCTCGGCCAGACGGGCCCGGGGGTCTGGAAACTCGGTGGGGGCTGTGGAGGTGGTTGAGGGGCGGCAGCTGCGGTCTCGGGGAGAGGCTGTGGTGGAGCTGAGGTGAGGATTTGCGGCCGGTGGGAAGCGGCTTTGGCGGCATCAGGGGCCTCGCTGCCTTCAGCAGGACAATGGGTCCTCTGCGGACCGGGAAGGGAGGAAACTGGGGCACAGCCGTCCCGAGGGCGGTGAGCGCTGACACTTCACCAACCCTGAAACCAAGTGGTGGCTCCTGCCGCAGCAGCGGGCAGAG